GTTATTGAATATTATAGGTGTGTAAACTCAGCAAAATATTCTAAAAGAGTCCAGTAGCCCATAATAGCACTGGGTCTTCTGTTTAACAGGCAATGTCAGAAATTATTGACCTGAGTCCCCCACAGCTCAACATAAGAGCATAGCTTTACTTCCTATTAATGGCTGCTTATTTTGCATAGATACAGATCACACCATGCTGGCTGCACTGACGCAATCCTGGGATGCAGTTCTGCATGCCCCTTTGCCTCCAGCCCTGTGATGGCAGAGCTCTTTATCTTGCCATCATTATTAGCTATGACCTCCGCATCGTTTTTGAAATAAAAAAAAAAATCTTATTTTCTCTGGTATGACTTTCACTGTCGGGTCACCACTGCAAGATGCACTGCCTCAGCCTCCTGTGGGGCTGGGTTTATAGGTGTGCGCCATCACTTCCAGATTCTACACCCTTTCATTTTGGTTTTTCAAAACAGGTTCTCTCTGTCTGTGCAATCCAGGCAGGCCCTGAACTCATAGTACAGCCGGGGATCCTGGGAGCTGGTGGGGAGTGCTGGGGTTACAGTACATTTGCCCTTTCGGTACAAACTGTGCCACTTCCTCCAGCATTCTCAACCCACAGGACAGGCTGGCAATGGTTCGAGGTGGAACTTTGCTCTTGCCTGGGTACACTATGAAAGGCCCACACAGATGGACCCACTGCAAATCTGTTACCATGCTCTCCTGCCATATCATATCCTGACAGGGTTACGTGAATTTTTGCCCATTATACATTTTGGGACATAATATTTTATGGGAAACATTTGCATTCACTTGTTTACTCAAGGTCTGGGGCTGCTTTGATGCCACAATGACAGAATTTGAGTCTCAGACAATAAGGTTTCCACAAACCAAATATTGGCTTTATATTCCTGCATGGTGCTGTGGGCCTTACTCCCCACTGTGCTTTAAGAGCACTTGCAGTGCTGAGCACACACCTAGGACCTTACTGCTGGGTCTTAAAGACGCACCACTGTCCCCAAATCTGAAGTTTTACCCCTAAGTATTCCTCTGTCACTCTGTGTATCTTCTGACTTTTCCAAGTTCAGTGACTTAAGACTGTCTGTTGCAATTACACTTTGTTCTTTCTTTTTTCCTACTAAACTTAAGGCCGTAGAGCTACATATTTTTGAGCACAGGATTTTGCACTCTTGTCATGTATCTTATTTTCTGTATTAAAAACTGAAGAGGCACTTTAATTGTCAAATGTACTGATTCATAACCATTATTATTTCAGCATTTTTGCATGTCTTGTGTTTTTATCTGTTTGACCTTCTGTCTTTCTAAGGGAGTCTATCTTTAATGAGAGCAGCCCCTGAAATGAATTTGTTACTATTTGTCTTTTAACTTTTATTTTCTTTATACTTGAGAAAATATAAATTTTTTACATTATTTGTCATATGGACAATTATAATTGTGTAAAATTCTAGACTGATGGTTAACTGTAGTCACTCTCTTGGGCGTCATTCTATGTCTTCTAGCTCTTTTGCTCTCTAGAGGAAGTTTACTGTCAGTGCCGCCCTCTGGGATATTTACTTTATCTAGCTCAGTTAAAATGTTGCCTTTGTTCTTAATATTTGGCTTCTGAGTTAGACTTACACATGATTTTAATTGGCGTTCTACCTCTTGCACTGAATAGCTTTGAGAATTTGGGGACAGATTTCTTTCTTGTATTTTGACAAAAAGATACAGTATTTTTCTTCTCGAAGAGAGTTTTACTTATTCCTCCCCTGCTGAGAGTTTCACTTCTATGCATGCTTTGTCCTTTCATGAGCTCTGACTCACACTTATATTTCTTTGCTATTTTATCTTTTAATTTTCCTTATTTTGTTTCAGCTCACTACATATCAGTGCAGGCTCTAGACTAATAACTATATTGATCGAAGTTTTCATTATAGTATTTGTCTTTTGGAGAACTAGAATCTAAATTGAATTTTTGATGATTTTCTCTCATTTCAATATTTGTTTTACAAATTTTCTTTATCTTTATTTATTAATCATATTGATTCTAAAATTTATCTTCAGATCCAACATGTTCTTTTTGTTAGTTCTACTATGCTACTTCTTTTTCACATTTTCACAGGACTTCATGTTCTCTACATTTTTCATTAAAATGTAAAGGGTCGAAAATAATACTGGTTTTCACCACAGAGCATTTTAGTGTTACTTACATGTTCCAAAAACCTGTCTGATGTTTTGAGCTGCTTTTAGTAGTCCTTGCTTGTCCTGCAGTTACTCTTGAGGCGAAACTGCATGTATCACCTGAGCTCAGAAGGTTTTAACAACCCTGGACAGAATAATAAAATATATCCGAAAGAAAGAACAAAGGTAAGGCAGAATGAAAGCCTTAGAGTACAAAAGAAAGACGGGGAGGGAGAGAAAGGGCAAGGAAGGAAGGAAGGAAAGAAGGAACGAAGGAAGGAAGGAAGGAAGGAAGGAAGGAAGGAAGGAAGGAAGGAAGGAAGGAAGGAAGGAAGGAAGGAAGGAAGGAAGGAAGGAAGATAGGCCAGGTAGGCAGGTAGGCAGGCAGGCAGGAAGGCAGGAAGGCCGGCAGGAAGCTGACTGCTGTAATTCAAGTGAAGACTAACATCTTCTTCAGGATCTGCATGCCTGCTCTGGGGCTGCACTATAGGAGATACTCTCTTTTCCATTAAGGAAGTGTTTTCCTAGCAAATTCTGAACTCTCTCTCTATTTTTTTTCTGATTAGCTTGAAGTGGATAAAACAGTATTATTCTGTCCAGGTTTTCTATTTCTTGGATGATCCCACCGCTTCTCTTAGGAAACAGAGCCCTGCAGTTTCAGCAAAATGTCTTACAGAGAAAGTTTTCTTTGTGTTAAGCTCAGTGTGTTAAATAGTGCATGATTTTGAAAACTTTATTATATATCCAACTGTGATCTGCTAGGCTTGAGGGGGACAGGAGTCCAAAATTCTGCTGACTTTCCTTCTGCTGACAGCCTTTGCCATTCCCCCTGGAATGAACAAAGTTGGAATTTCAGTCAGCTTTTCCAAAATGTCTCCATTTTTCACCACATTTGTACCTTGAATTTTTACTCTTTTATTGCATGCATTTCATTGTATGCTGTCTATCAGCCCTTCCAAAATGGAACCGAATCTTAGAATGTAAGCAATTTTAATCTGGTCAAAATCTGCTTTTATGAGCAAATACATTAGATAACTATCAGAGTACTGGGAAGAACTTAAAATGCAATGTTGGGCTGGAGAGATGGCTCAGTGGTCTAAAGCACCTACTTAGAACAAGCTTGGCAAAGCATCAGGGACTGCGGTTCAATCCCCCAGCACCACATGCCAGCCAGCCCCGCCCCCTGGTGGGCTGAGCTGGCCACACACACACACCACTCTCTCTCTCTCTCTCTCTCTCTCTCTCTCTCTCTCTCAAACAAATAAATAAAAAAAATTAAAAAAATAAAAGTTGTTCTCGCCCCTCCATTTAAAAAAAAAATAAAATAAAATGCAATGTTAATTGTAAGCAACTATTTCGTGGTTTTGTAGAGAATCATTCCACCCATGTACAAAAATTATTTCCTAAATAGTTAGAATACATTTGCATATTTTGAACCACTGTTGAAAGCCACATTTGTAAGCCAGAAAATCATTGTTATTGCTGCCTTTTAAAATATAACATGTGTTATGGTTCAGATCTGTTATGCCCCTCAAAGCAGTCAAGCACTGAGAAGCAGGAATTGTGAAATGTGACCCTGTCACGGATGTGCTGTCCTCATCATGCGTGTATCCAGTGCTGTTACAGTAGCTGGGTGTGTAGTTAGGAGGCGGGGCCTGTGCAGGGCTGGTCACCGCTTGGGAAGGTACATCTCTTTCCCCATAGAGAAGTCCTTCCTCTCCTCTGCTGGTTGAGTGCCCTGCATGAGCAGACACCACTCTACCTAGGGATTTTACCCGGCTATTTCTGCCTGCGAGCCAGTCACCTATGCCCCAACATAAACCTCTCCTCTATTGTGTTGTCAGTATTAGATCAAAGCTAAAACATCACTACTAAGATCACTACTAACATCACTGTCCAAGACATCACTACTGATCATCCTCCAGGCAGAATATTTTTAAAAACTGAAAAGCCTTTCTCAATGATAATTGATATAGTTCAACCACTGTTGTTTCTCCCATTCTTCAACACCCCACCCCACTCTACCTTCTCTCTGTCTTAATATCTTTCTCTTACACAGCACAACAAATGCACACATGTGATGAATCACACTAAAACAATGAAGCATATAAAGAAAACAGCAATCAATAACAACAATTATGATGAAATCCTTTATTTAATAATGAATCTGTTTACATAAAACTTGAGAGTCCAACTTGATTATATTTTACATAGCATTATAAAAATAATACTAAAATTTTTCTACAGCATTTCACATTCAGTAGACACTGATGAATTAAAAAGGCATGTTGTATATTTTTGTTTTTCATGTACTAAAATATGTTTTTGGTGTTTTAAAGATATTAAAAATTTATCCTGTAAAAATAATTGGAGACTTTTGCACTAAATCAGCAGCTTATAGTGAATAGGCTAAGACACTCTGGGAATTCCTCAGTAGAAGCCATAGGTCCAGTATCTCCTACAGCACAGGGGGCGGCAACAGCCATAGCCATAGCCACCATAACCACCATAGCCATAGCCACAGCCTAGGCCACCATAGCCATAGCCCAGGCCACCATAGTAGTTACCATAGTAGCACATGGTGTCAGCAGTGGACAGTTCAGTTGATGATCAGGAAGTGGGTGTCTTGGTCTGGATGTCACTGTCTTCAGGGACCTTTTATACTGCCTTGGTGGTGAGCAGGGAAACTCCAGGCAGTGCCACATCATACTATTTGACCAATGAGCCTCAGACAACATCAGAATGATCTTTACTAATTGTGGAAACAAGGCCCTGGTGACTGAACTCATCTTGTTCCTATGCCAGGAATCTGCCACCGATTATGGTGTTTAAAAAAGAAACTCATGTTCTATTATAAGCTTCCAGTTTGCTCTATATTTAGTTATTTCTGGACATATGTTATAATTACAAGTCATCATATAAATCATCAAAGTAGGTAACCCATTTTGTTTTCTTTCTTTCTTTCTTTCTTTCTTTCTTTCTTTCTTTCTTTCTTTCTTTCTTTCTTTCTTTTCTTTTTTTTCTTTTTTTTGCATAACTGGGGATTGAACTCAGGCCCTCGCACTTGCCAGGTAAGTGCTTATTCTACTGAGCCATCTCCCCATCTCCTTGTTTCCATTCTTTCATAAGGATTAGTTTTTCCTTTCTCTCTTTAGCCTCCCTTCCTCCCTCCCTTCCTCCTTTGCTTGCTTGCTTCTTTCCTTCCTTCCTTCCTTCCTTCCTTCCTTCCTTCCTTCCTTCCTTCCTTCCTTCCTTCCTCCCTCCCTCCCTCTCTTCCTTCCTTCCTTTCTCCCTTCAACCCTTCTCTTTTCTCTGTTCAACCCTTCCAGTTTTCTCTCTTTATACCCTATACTTCCTGAAATGCTTTTCTCCAGCAACTTCTTGATTTTTATTCACATGGGTTGTTATTGCTAATTTTGCAGTGAATACTATCATATGTGTGTGCAGTGGAAGATTAATCTGAAATTATTCTTCAAGAAAAATGATTTCAAACTTCCAAAACATTCATTTTATGGGTAGTAACACTATATATTCTCTATTTGCCACTCTACATAAATGCACTGTAGATACAATTGTGAAACTCCCCCTTCAGTTAGATGTTCCATCTATAACCTTTACTTATTTTTTAAAGACAGTGTTTAGCTTTGAAAAGGCAAGGACCACAGATACCTCCTGTCTACAGTGAGCTTAAGGCAACTGATGGTAGTCACCATACTTTATATTTATTTATTTATTTCTTGGTGGAAATGGGGATTGAACTCAGACCCTCGCACTTGCCAGGCAAGTGTTTATTCTACTGAGCTATCTCCTCAGTCCGGTAGTCACCATACTCAAAGGGGAAGGGACGTACAGTTCTGCACTAATGATGTGAGAAGAAAGAAAATCTCCTGCTCTTTAATACCGAATTTAGGGTTACACAAACTCTAATAAATTTCTTTGGGCGTAGTATTCTATAGGAAAACATACACATGCACTCATTTCTATGTATTCTATGGCTATTTTGACACAACAACACACAAATGAGTTTTGAGATATTGAATGTCTCCAGGTTTCAAATAATGGCTTTTCATTCTCACAAAACTTTGTATCTTTTCCTCAAGCTGATATGTAAGAACAATTACATTCCTTGTGTATATACAACTTTTCCAAAAGTTAACTTTTTGCCTCTAATTGTTCCACTAACCAATCAGTTTTTGTATTTTCTGATTTTCATGGATACATTGATTTATGACAATCTGTTGCAATATATGCTAATATTTCTCTTTCCTGGTGAGGTCAGTACCCTAGAGCTTTGTATTTTGTGTATATTGATTCATATAGGTTCACTTATGTCCTGAGCTCTTTGTGAGTGTGTGTGTGTGTATGTGTGTGTGTGTGTGTGTGTGTGTGTGTGTGTATTTTAGGGAAAGGTCCACAGGGTGTTCAAGGTCTCACTGCTAGATAGGACTCGTAGTGATTCTCCTGTTTACAGCCTCCCAAGTCCTGGAATTACAGGCACGCGCCATCACGCCCAGTCTCAATGTCTGTCTCAGGGTGCCCCAGGGGCGGGGCCGGCACAATAGGCACGGGAGATCGAACCCCAGCTCTGATCCAACCCTTGGCCCTGAGCTCTACGTATCTCGGGAACTACATGTATCCCATTAGTTTCATGTATATTGTTTTCTGTACATGAAAAACTCCAAAGCAATTATAATTATTAGTACATGATTAACGTTCCTTTTCATTTTAATTTCATTACTTTTTAATGTAGTTTTTGTTTCAGTTACTTCTGTTCTTCCTAATAAATCAACCATTTCTAATTCTGAACAATTAGAAAATACATTTTCTGGGGCTGGCGAGATAGCTCAGCAGACTAAGCGCTTGCTTTTGGAAGCTCAGGAACCAGAGTTCTATCCTTGGTCCCGCATGCTGTGTCGGCCCTGCCTCTGGGGTGCACTAAGCTGACATTCGCGTCTGGACATGGTGGCGCATCCCTGTAATCCCAGCGCTGGGGAGGCTGAAAAACAGGAGGATCGCTACAAGTCCAAGCTGTGTAATGACACCCTGTACCAAATACATAAATGGAAAAAAAAAATCCCACTACTTGAGACAACTTAATTTTTTCTCCATCATAAGGAATATACTTGATATTTTACTTATTTTTTTACTTTATTTTATTATATGAGCAGTTTTGATCATAAGAAATTCTAGATTGTTGGCTATGCTTAATTGTTCTTAAGGCATTACTACTTTTTCTTTCAGTCTCTGTAGAAGAATTTTACTGTCAGTCTTATCTCTTTGTAGGCAACATTTATTTTATTAAAATTAAGATTTTGGGGCCCCAGGGAGATAGCTCAGTAGAATAAGCGCTTCCCTGGCAAGCACAAGGGCCTGAGTTCAATCCCCGGTTCTGAAAAGAAAAATAAATAAAATTTTGGCTTTGCACATAATTTTTAGTTAATGATGTGTATGTCTACATGATATTACTGTTTTCTATTTAAAATTTTACGTTATTAATACATGTTTGCAATACATAAAGTTTGTATTCCTCTAAGGGGTATTTGCAGATACACAACAACTTAATTCTTTTCCGATCTTCCTCTCCTCCCCACCCAGCTCGCTCTGCCCACTGCTTCTTGCCCTCTCCATTCTTTTGATTGCTATTATTATTTTTTAATTAGCAAGTCTTCCTCTTCACAATGAAGGGCTTGGTGATTTTGTAGAGAGATGTTCTGCTGTACTTTTTTCCTTTTCTGAATTCTAAATACTATGTAACTTTCCATTTCATGAGATCTTACACATTCTTTATTCTCTGTTTAGTGTATTTTATTTTTTATTTTTTTAGTTTAGCCTATTTTATTCCACTTTTTCTTATTTGTACTGATGTATGTCTGTTTTATAATTTGTGCAATTTATTGAATTCTTAACTATTTTATTTTGCTAAGAATTAAGATTAAAATTTGATTTTGCACTGAATTTTTCTAGCTTAATATATATAGATAAATTTCCTTTTGGAAGATGTAGTAGGGGCTGGGGAGATGGCTCAGTGGAATAAGTGCTTCCCTGGCAAGCGCAAGGGCCTGAGTTCAAACCCCGGTTCCGAAAAAAAAAAAAAAAAAAAAAAAAAAAAAAGATGTAGTAGTTGTATCTATTTTAATATTGCAAATCCCAATATGTTGCTTACATTTAGTTGGATTTTATAATTTCTTGCTTCTTTTATATTCTTATTCAGGGTTTCATATGGCCAAAATTTAAATTCCCATCCAAAGTAGTGCTGGATTTCACCATATGGATCTGTGTAGCTCCCAGAAAATATGCATTTGTCCGAGTTCATTGAATTGTTAACAACATTACTCACCTTTGTAGAACTAGAATTTAAATTTAATTATGATGAATCCAGTTTTATATTGCAAATATCCTTTTAATACCTTTGTTATCTTTTGTTTATTAATTATGTCTATTATATTTTCATTTGCAAAGTACAATATGTTATTCATTTTACTTTGACTTTATTATGTTTCCTCTTTTCCATACTTCAACAAAATACTCTATTGACATTTTTTATGAACATTACAGGGGATCCAAAAATACACAGGATTTCACCTAGCTTTTTTTCACCTAAGCTCTTAAAACAGGTATGATTGGGCTGAATGTGGTGCCCCTTGCTTGTAGTTCTGTTGCCCTGGAGGCTAAGTTGAAGTAGCACTTGTGCTTTGAATTTTTTGAAATGCAACAGAGAAGAAGTACAGATTCAACTACAAGAAAGAAAGAAGGAAAGGAAAAAAGAATGAGAAAGGAAGGAGGGAAAAGGAAAAGGAAAAGAAAGAGAAAGACAAAAAGACAGAAAGAAGGGAAAGAGGGAGGGAGGGAGGGAGGGAGGAAGG